ACAGACTGGCAAATTGGATAAAAAGTCAAAACCCATTGGTGTGCTGTATCAAGGAAACCCATCTCACATGCAAGGACACACGTAGACTCAAAATAAAGGGATGGAGGAAGATTTACCAAGAAAATGGAGAGCAAAAAAAAGCAGGAGTTGGCAATCCTAGTCTCTGATAAAATAGACTTTAAACCAAGAAAGATCCAAAGAGACAAAGAAGGGCATTACATAATGGTAAAAGGATCAAAGCAACAAGATGAGCTAACAATTCTAAATATATACGCATCCAATACAGGACCACCCAGATACATAAAGCAAGTTCTTAACAACCTACAAAGAGACTTAGACTCCCACAGAATAATAGTGGGAGACTTTAACACTCCACTGTCAATATTAGACAGATCAACGAGACAGATAATGAACAAGAATATCCAGGACTTGAACTCAGATCTGGGCCAAGCAAACTTAATAGACATCTACAGAACTCTCCACCCCAAATCCACAGAATATATATTCTTCTCAGCACCACATCAGCCAATGCAGTAAGCTAAGAAAAAGAAATAAAAGCATCCCTACTTCCAGAAAGAAAGAAGTAAAACTGTTTTTGTTTGTATACATATGATGTCTACATAGAAAATTCTATGGAATATTTAAAGAAGTTATTAGAACATGTAAGTGAAATTAGGGTTGCAGGAGATAGGATTATTATATAAAACACTTGTTTTTATATATACTAGTGTCAAACAGGAAATTGAAATACATCAAAAAATAATATAGAATATGGATAAATCTGACAAAAGAGATGCAAGACTTACACATTAAAAACTATAAAACGTTGGTGAGAAAAATTAAAGACCCAAATAAATGAAGATACATGTCATGCTTATGGATTGGAAGACTCAACATTATGAAGATGTAATTTCTGCCCAAAGTGAACCACAGGTTCAGCACCATCCAATCAGGATTCCAGCAGGCATTTGATAGAAATTGACAAGCTGATTCTAAAATTCATGTGAAGATGCAAAGGACCTAGAATAGTGAAAACAACTTTGAAAAATAAAAACAGAGTTGGAAGACTTAATACTACCTTATTGTAAGACTTACAAAGTTATAGTAATCTAGACAGTGTGTATATTGGCATGAAGTTTGACAAATAGGTCAATGGAATAGCACAGAGTCCTGAAGTAGATGCACACATAGAGGATCAGTTGCTTTTTGACAAAGATATAATGAAGAAAGTAGATTAATATCCATAGCATTGGAACAATTGGATATCAGCGTGCAAAAAACGACCTTTGATCTGTATACGGAAGTTGACTCACAATGTATCACATACCTAAATAAGAGCTAAAACTTACAGCCAGACTATTAAGTCTCAGAATTTAATAATAACCCAGTTTAAATAATGGACGTAAGAGTTGAAGACAACTTTACCAAAGAAGATATACAGAAGACAGATAAACACATGAAAAGATACCCAACTCATTAATCTTTTTTTTTTTTTTTTGAGACGGAGTCTTTTTCTGTCACCCAGGCTAGAGTGTAGCGGCACGATCTCAGCTCATGGCAACCTCCACCTCCCAAGTTCAAGTGATTCTCCTGCCTCAGCCTCCCTGGTAGCTGGGATTACAGACACACACCACCATGCCCGGCTAATTTTCTTATATTTTTAGTAGAGACTGGGTCTCATCATGTTGGCCAGGCTCTTCTGGAACTCCTGACCTCAGGTGATCCACACATCTCGGCTTCTCAAAGTGCTGGGATTACAGGTGTGAGCCACAGTACCCAGCCAACCTCATTAATCTTTAGCGAAATGCAAATTAAGACCACAGGCTGGGTGCAGTCACTCATGCCTGTAATCCTAGCACTTTAGGAGGCCCAGGTGGATATCACCTGAGGTCAGGAGTTTGAGACCAGCCTGGCCAACATGATACAACCCCGTCTCTACTAAAAATACAAAATTAGCTGGGTGTGGTGGCACACACCTGTAATCCCAGCTACTCAGGAGGCAGAGGATAGCTGAGATTCTGCCATTGCACTGCAGGCTGGGTAACAGAGTGAGATCCTGTATCACACACACAAAAAAACAAAAAACAAACAAACAAAAACACAATAAGACACCATTAAACACCTGTAAGAATTGTCTAAAACTGAAAAAAACTGACCATATCAAATGTAATTAAGAATGTGGAGGAACTAAAACTATGATACACTGTGGTAGGAATGTAAAATGGTACAACTGACTTGGAAAACAGTCTAGAAGTTTCTTAGAATGTTAAGCATATGTATTATAGTTGTCCCTCCATATCTATGGTTTTGGAACCTATGGATATAAAGGGCTTATTGTACTGCCTCATTTTATATGAGAGCTGTAAGCATCTGGGGATTTGATATCCAAGGGGAAATGGGCTCCTGGAACCAATCCCCTGCAGTTGCTGGAGAACTGTACCTATCATTTGACCTAGCCATTTCACCCCTTAGTATAATCCCAAAGAAAATGAATGTATATTTTCATTCAAATGTTTATTCATGAATGTTTATAATGACTTTGTTTATAATAGCTAAAATCCAGAATTATCCCTAATGTCCATCAGCATGTGAATGGATAAACCAAATGGTGTTATATCCATATAATGGATTAATATTCATCACTAACGAATAACAAGGTACAGCTACATGCAAAAATAGGGACAAATAATGAATTTTATGCTTAAATAATTATGCTGAGTGAAAGAATCCTGATTAAAAACATTTCCTATGATTCCACTCATATATATAATTCTAGAAAATATAAACTGATCTATAGCAACAGAAAGCAGATCATTGGTTGCTTGGGAATAGAGGGCTGTGGGGAAGGGTGAAGGGAGGAAAATCAAGGGTCACAGGAAACTTTTGGTGATGATAGAGGTGCTCATTGCTGTTTTTTTTTTTTGAAGACAGGATCTTGCTCTGTTGCCCAGGCTGGAGTGCAGTGGTGTGAACATGGGTTACTGCAGCCTTGACTTCCTGGGCTCAAGCAATCCTCCTGCTTTAGCCTCTCAAGTAGCTGGCTTGACAGGCATGCACCACTGTGCTTGCCTAATTTTTATATTTTTCTGTAGACATGGTGGCTTGCCATGTTGCCCAGGCTGGTCTCAAACTCCTGGACTCAAGCAGTCCTCCTACCTTTCCCTCCCAGAGTGCTTTGACTACAGGCGTGGCCACCTGCCCTGGCACGTTCACTATCTTTATTGTTGTGGTAATATTATGGATGTGTACTTATGTCAAAATTTATCAAATTGTATACTTTAAGTATGAGCAGCTTATTATATGTCTATTAGGCTTCAATAGATCAATTTTTAAACTTAGGGGAGTACAATATGTTAATAATAAGGCAGATTACAAAATCATTGTGGTTTTTGTTCATAAAGAGAGTTGTTAAGATGCATTCATGTGCCTACACTGTATCTTCATTGGGATATTTTTTAGGCATCTCCACACTGAAATGCCTGAAGCTAAACTCTTTAAAATTAATCTCTAACTTCTTTTCCTCCTTTCCTATTTATTCTGTTCTTTTTTTATCTTTATAAATAGTATGCCCATCTCCCCATTTTTCATGCAAGAAGCTAGGAAATCATCTTTGATATTTATGTTACCCTCTTATCTATCAACAAATTGTGTCATTGAGAGCACATTTCAAATCAATCTGTAGTCCCGTCTTTTACCACCACCCCCATTACCCCAGTTCAAGTCATCATCCTCTCTCACTGAAAAAAGAAAAAAACCCTGGTGACTATGCTCCTGGTTTTATTCTTGACTCCCCTCAATCCAGTGATCAGAAAACAGCCACAGCAAATCTTTTCAACGATTGTCATTGCTCTTAGCATACAATCTAAAATGGTTTCAGTATGATCTGGTTCCTCTTTGCCTCTTACTTATTATGTTCTGACTACACAGGCTACCTTTCAGTTTCTTGAAATCTCCAAACTCTTTTTACTGCAGGATTTTCTCACACAGTATTTTCCAAACCTGCACTAGTTGGTTTTTTTTTTCTTTACTCTTTCAGTAGCTACTCCAATGTGTGCTTCAAGTGTCAGTTTAAATGCTGCTCTTCAGAGAGGATTTTTCCTGACTTGATCTATCTAGTTGGAACCTACACCAGTACCCTGTAGGTTTTCTTCATAGCTGTTATTCAGGGATTTTTGCTTTTATGGAAGGAGGAGGTGTTAATTTGGGTATATGAGAGATTATTTGTTCTTGTAGTGGTCTGAAAAAGTCCTTGAAAGTTGGAACCATGTCTGTTTTGTTCACTGCTGCAGGTGGCCACCATCCAGCTTTCCCTGGTGCAGTCAACAATATTTATTGAGTGAATGTTTAGAGAAAATGTGTTGGAAGGAAATATGTATCAATGGTTGCCTTTGAGTGGTGTGGATTGGTTTTGTAAGATTACCACAATGAGCCATAATAACTTTCTAATCAGAAAAGTTATAAATAACTTTGTCTATACTGTTTGCCTTTACTAGAGAGGAAAAAGCAAATGTTGTTTTGCAACTTTGAATTCTTGCTCTTGATACTGTTAGAATATTAGTTACCTTGATATATTACTTTTCATATTTCTAAGTTGCACAGTTCTAGGGGGCACTGTTTATATTGTATTGTTTATGTATGAATGGAATGGGGAATTCTGGATTAGTGTGAAGCAGGAGGCTCTTCTTTTAGTGCCATTTTTAGGTATAGTTTACCTGGAACCGTATTTATGCTTCTCTCCTGGATCTACCTGCAATGTATATATTATCTTGCATTCTTTAAGTTACAAAGTCTTTCTTTATTTTTCTGTTTTGGTCACATTTAAAAAGAAGTCACCCTTGGGATATATTGGATTATTTAGCATAGTTTTGACCAATGTCAACTTAGGAGAAATCTAAGATTTTTTTGAATTCTTAATTTGTATTCTTTTACTTTTTAAGATGCCCTTTGTTAATGTTATTTTATTTGTTTCCATAATAAATGTATACCAACTTTTTTAACAGATAAAATAATTAGGCACAGGGCTTGTACCCTGAAGGACACTGCACATGCCATCATTGCAGCTGAATTAGATCCAGAATTTAATAAACTTTGTGAGGAAATTAAGGAAGCAAGAATAAAAAGAGGTAAGTTGTAGAAATAAACTTGGTACTGAAGCCTAGTGTTCTGGTCAGGCCAAGAGTCCTTGAATGATGTTTCTTTAGGGTTGCTGGTATTATTAAAATAATGTATTTTGAATTACAACCTTTATTTAATTTCTGATACTAATGTGTTATGTACATTCTCAAAGATATTTTAGAACTTTACCTACTGTGAAAGTTTTACTGTGATAGTGGGTATTACAGACCTATAAAGTGTTTCTTAGTGAAATTTCTTTTGTAGGAGTATATCTTTTTTTAAGAATTGATTTCTAAATGGATTTAGATATTAGATATGAAAAGTTTATATTTTTCATCAGTTTACATTCTGGTACTTTAAAAGCATGTTTAGGAATATTGTTATTCCCTCCCTGTTGAAATTTGTATGCAATTTTGTTATTAGAAACACAGAATTAGCAATTGTGGTTTGTCGATTCAGTTTATAATCTTGTCCTTGAGGAACTCACATTTTAGTAGGAGAGAGAGAAATGTTAAACAAATCAAGTACAGTGTGTTGTATGTACTGGTTGAAGCATGTTCAGAGCACAGAGAAGAGACTTCTTAGTTGGGAATCCAGCATTTTGATCAGAGTAAGGAGTGAATATAGAAATGTTCTTTCTAATGGACTAGGGAGGCACAGAAAACAACAGCACATGTAAAGGCACAGAGTTGTGAAATAGCTTGATGTATATTAGAAGATCTTTAAACGGGTATTGCTAAAGATATACAGAATGCTGGAAATAGGGCTCAAGAGGTGCAGGGTCAGGACACCAAAATTATGAAGAAACTTCTGCCATTTTAGAAAGCTCTTCCCTGACTCCCTAATCTAATAGAGGCTTTGGTAGCATTTGGCATTATATTGATATTTGGTTTTTGGTCATGTCTTCCTTATTTAGGATATCAGCACTTTGAATGTCTTGTTTACAACTCTACTTCAGTCCCTAGAACCCTGTCTGATATATAACAGGTTTTCAGTAAATATTTGAATAAATCAGTGCCATGCTAAGAAGCTTGTACTTTATCTTGTAGATCAATGTTTTCATAAATGTCTACCTATTACATCAGCTTAGACCTATGAATTAGATTCTCTGAGAATATAAAGCCAAGAAATCTTATTTAAACAGACTATCCAATAGTTTTTAGATTCACTAAAGTTTGATAACCATAGGCAAGAGAAGTCATTGAAGGATTTTAAGCAGTAGAATGAATTGGTTGAATTGCCTTGGTGGCAAGAAATAGCATGGTTTCAATGTGCCAGGGCAGGAAGATCAGAGATCAGTTTAAAAGCTGTTGAAGCCCATTTGGAAATGGTTTGGCAATTTCTGTAAAGTTAAACATGGATTTGCTGTGTGACCCAGTGATTCTACTCTTAGGAATCTACCCAAGCAAAATGAAACTATATATCCACATAAACCCTTATATGTTCATAGGAGCGTTGTTTATAATTACCACAAACTGGAAACAACCCAGACGTCTGTCAGCTGCTGAATGGGTTAGGAAAACATAGGATATCCATACAAGGGCATACTACTCAATAATAAAAGGGAACAAAGTACTGATGCACAGTACAACGTGGATGAACTTAAAAAACATGCTGGCTGAACATGGTGGCTCACCCCTGTAATCCTAGCATTTTGAGTGGCAGAGGTTGGAGGATCGCTTGAGCCAAGGAGTTTGAGACCAGCCTGGGCAACGTGGCGAGACACTATCTCTACAAAAAATGAAAAATATTAGCTGGGCATGGTGATGTACACTTATGATCCCAGCCATTTTGGAGGCTGAGGCGGGAGGATTGCTTGAGCCCAGAAGGTTGAGGCTGCAGTGAGCCATGTTTGTGCCACTGCTGTCCACCCTGGGTGACAGAGCAAGACCTTGTCTCAACAAAAAAACCCAAAACATTATACTAAGTAAAGATAGCCAGACACAGAAAACTACATGTTGTATGATTTCTTTTATATGAAATTTCCAGGCCGGGCGTGGTGGCTCAAGCCTGTAATCCCAGCACTTTGGGAGGCCGAGGCGGGTGGATCACGAGGTCAAGAGATTGAGACCATCCTGGTCAACATGGTGAAACCCCGTCTCTACTAAAAAAAAATACAAAAAAAAAAAAAATTAGCTGGGCATGGTGGCGCGTGCCTGTAATCCCAGCTACTCGGGAGGCTGAGGCAGGGGAATTGCTTGAACCCAGGAGGCAGAGGTTGCGGTGAGCCGAGATCGCGCCATTGCACTCCAGCCTGGGTAACAAGAGCGAAACTCCATCTCAAAAAAAAAAAAAAAAAGAAATTTCCAGACAAGGCAAGTCTGTAGAGACAGAAAGTGGAGAAATGGTTGCCTGGGACAGTTATCTAAAATTGGATTGCTATGGTGATTTTACAATTCTATACATTTACTAAAAGCTATTTATTGTACACTTAAAACAGGTGATTTTTATGATACATAAACTGTATCTCAGTAAAGCTGTTGGGGAGCAAAAACCTGTTGGAGTAGTCCAGGGTTTTAATTAATGAAGTAAGAAGGGAGATAGAAGAGATTAATGTAAGTGAGATGTAGCTTCAAGGATGGAAAACACTATGAAGTGAAGGAAGAATAAAAACTGGCTGCCCTATTACTGGTTGGGTGACTCAGTAGATGCTAATACTCTAACAGTCTAGATAGAGAATATATAAGAATAAACTGTTTTGATTTATAGGGAAAGATAAACCAGTTATTTTTAATTTGATCTATCTTTAGGATATTCAGCTGGAGATGTGAAGTAAGGAGTTGAATATATGGATCAGAAGTTGTATATATGGATCAGAGATGTTTGGGCTAAAGATAGAGATTTGAGAATTATTATGTAATAGTAGTAAAACCTGAACACAATGGTACTTTGTTGGAGAACATGTAGATTAGAGTAAGAAGAAAAGTGGTTACAGAGAGAACTTGGAGAAAAACCAACTTAAGGACCACATAGAAGAAATAAATCTCTAGTGAAGAAAATTAAGATAGAATGATTGATTAGTCTTAAGAATATAACACAGGACAACCAAACTGACTGCAGTGTGGTGGGATAGGGAGCAAATAGCATTTTGAAACAGGTCATGGGAATGGGGTTTAGTGGACTGTAAACACTGTTGTACATTCTAAGATGGCAAGAGATCATATTTTTGGACACTATATAATCTTATTGTTCCACAGTCATAATAATGTAAAATGTGCTCCTTTGTGAATTAAAATGAGTAAAAATAGGGCCTCTTTGGGTATTAAGTGGAAACATGTCCTGCCAGATTGTTCTATTTTTATGATTTTATATCTAAGTTTCTTACCCATCTTAAAACAAAAGACACTGCTTCCACTGGAATTACGAACTGCCCAAGTATAATTAATGACTTTAAAACTCAGTTTTGTATTTCAGATTTTTAAAAAACCTTGTTGGTTTATGTAGCTGGGAATATTTAAATAGGTGTTGCTTATCTTCTGCTTGCAGGCTTATCAGTAACAGCAGAACAAATAAATCCTCATAGTACTGGAGCTCGGAAGACAGAAACTAGAGTTGAAGAGGCATTTCGGCACAAACAAAGAAATCCAATGGATGTCTGGCACAACTCTGCAAATAAATGTGCATGTGAGTGTTTGAGCTCATGTTATCCAGCAATGAGAACAACTGAGAATGATGCAGATATGTTAGGAATTGGGTACAAACCAAAGTGCTGCTGTTTTCCCACAGCTCTTTTAATTTCTTTTCGGAGGTGACTTGTGGGGTAAATGCTGAATTAGAAATATATTTCTTTTTTTTTTTTTTAAAGTCAGAGTCTTGCTCTGTCGCCCAGGCTGGAGTGCAGTGGTACAATCTTGGCTCACTGCAACCCTCTACCTCCCAGGTTCAAGCAGTTCTCTTGCCTCAGCCTCCCAAGTAGCTGGGACTACAGGCACGAGCCACCATACCCAGCTAATGTTTGTATTTTTAGTAGAGACGGGGTTTTACCATATTGGCCAGGCTGGTCTCGAACTCCAGACCTCGTGATCTGCCTGCCTTGGCCTCCAAAGTGCTGGGATTGTATGTGTGAGCCACCACACCTGGCCAGAAATATATTTCTTTAACCTTATTTGTTGTTTTCTATCCCTATTCAGTATTATTTGCTATGACAATTGAACTAGGCTTGAATATTTTCAGTTTCAAACTTTGGTTTTTGGATAGTGATGTGGCCAGTAGAATTTTATCCACCCTGTCCTCATCTTCCACTCCTTCTTGTACACTATGCATGATATTCTCTTTAGGGTGGGAAATGGATACTCCCGCATGTAGACATGGGTGATGTGGCAACAGGAAGTTGATTTTTCTGAGAGACTATTTTGTGCTCAGTTTGAAAAATCGGCACAGCCTTCTTTGTAGTTTTTGTGAAATGTATTTAAAGGGAAAATTCAGAGATTTTTTTTCAATTGTACTCATTCATATTCATCTATAATATTTCCAAAAGACAAAGGTTAATAAGCATCTTTCTAATACAGCCCTTATGTTTCACTAAAGATAGGCTTCTTTGAAGATACATGCTGTTATTCTGGTATAAAGATGGTAATCTGGGTTAAGTATCCTTTATCCAAAATGCTTGGAACCCAGAAATGTTTTAGATTTTATCGCACTTTGGAATATTTGCATTGTACTTATCAGCATCCCTAATCCAAAAATCAGATATCTGAAATGCTTCAATGCTTCAATGAGCAATTACTTGGAGCGACATGTCAGTGCTCCAAAAGTTTTGGATTTTGGATACTCAACCTGTACTACTCTGTCAGTAAAGCTAGCTATGATATGTTCTTTCACCAGTGTCATTGAATTTGAATGAATGAATGATACCCACCTTTTTAAAGCTTGTCCTCTTTTGGTAAGTGGCATTGTATGTGAGAAAGTTTGAGAAAGGACTTGAGGCCATGAAACTACTTAAACCTATTTGACCTAGTTGTATTTCAGATCATGACTTGGATTGTGTAACAGAGCACTCTAATTTAAACTTTGAATTTCTTTACGTTCTATGGATCTACTACAAATATTTATGAAGGAAAATACATTGAATATTCACTTTAAGAAGTTTTAAGTGTCTTTAAATATTTAAAAAATTTTTGAATCTACAAATATGAGTTTTGTTTTTTCTTACCAGTAGATGGCATATGTGACCCATCATTTTTCTGTTTTACATTAACTTAAATCATAAATCTGAATGTCTCTAAGGCGGAATTGCTTTCCTTAGGCCTTAGTTTTGGAAACAAACTCAGTGACACTATAAAAATTGACTCTAAAAGATCATGTGTCTAAATGGACTTTTCACGCAGAGCACTTTGATGAAGGAAGTGGGGGGTGTGTGTGTGTGTATGTGTGTGTGTATGTATTTTTTTTTTCCTTTTTTTTTTTTCTTGAGACAGAGTCTTTCTCTGTTGCCCAGGCTGGAGTGCAGTGGCATGATCTTGGCTCACTGCAACCTCTGTCTCCCCAGGTTCAAGCAGCTCTCCTGCCTCAGCCTCCCAAGTGGCTGGGACTACAGGCGCCCACCCCCATGTCTAACTCATTTTTTTGTATTTTTAGTAGAGATGGGGTTTCACCAGGTCAGGCAGGTCTCAAACTCCAGACTTCAAGTGATCTGCCTGTCTTGGCCTCCCAAAACACTGGGATTACAGGCATGAGCCACTAATTTGAGAAAGTTTGAGAAAGGACTTAGTGGGATATTAAGCATTAAGTCCACAAATACTAATATATGCTCTTGCCACTTGCCAGATATGATGAAGATACATCAGTGACTAAAAACTTTCTTCTTGTGGAGCTAATGTGATCTGTTTCTCTTATTTTGCCAAAATTATGCCAACCATTAGAAATAATTATATAAGGAAGAGAAAAATACCTCCAATCCTACTTCCCAAAGATTAAGAATATTTTCTCTTATAGTATTAGCCAGGATGAAAGCATCCTGGAGTAACTTGCTTCAGTGGGACTTCCAGCCGTTGCTTAGTGTACTACATGTCAGATAATTGAGGTGATTCTTGATTGAGCAGAGTTCAGCTTCATTTTGCTCTAGTTTCATGGCTTAGGAAAGAAAAAGGAAACCTATTGTGCTTTCAGTTACATGGTTGGAGAGTAAGTGAGGTTACAGTGTCAGGAATGGCCTGTCAGGTAGTAAAAACCTAATAGCTGTACCTTTCAGAGTCAGAGCAAGCTGAATGCTTTTCATTTTTTATATGGACTAGATTAGTTTTTTTAATAGCTAATGGGATGTTTACAAATGCCTGTCCCCTGAGCCTGTGTACCAGCTTTTAACAGTAGATTAATAAAGAAATTTTCTTCTCTATGCTAATTACCATGTAACTTTAAATTGTAAAAATAGAAATTAATATGGGAAAAGAATGAAAAGGTAGTGTCAGCAGGATTATAGTTTTGAAGGAAAAATACATGTTAAGCCAAATGACTAAATAACTTGAATTTTGGAGATGATTTCAGAAACTTTTAGAAGATATATTCTTAGATAAGAAAGAAGAGTAATATTTATAACTAAATTTATTTCTTGTGAATAGGTTGGTGAATTTACAGAGATGCAGTAGGGATTAAAGATGAAAGGATGAAAGAAGTATGTAAACACAGTGTACACTGTTGATAGATTCTAAATTCATATTGAACAGTGTAAATATAAGAAACAAGGATTGTCATTAAAAGATCATATTCCTTTCTGTCTCTGCAAAGTTTTAAAACTATGAATTAAACAGCCTACAGTTAGTGATTTCGTATTTATATTTTCTTTCTTTTTTTTTTTTTTAAGACAGTCGCTGTTGCCAGGCTGGAGTGCAGTGGCACAATTTTGCAATCTCTGCCTCCTGGTTTCAAGCGATTCTCTTGCTTCAGCCTCCCAAGTAGCTGGGATTACAGGTGTGCACTACCATACCCAGCTAATTTTTGTATTTTTAGTAGAGACGGGGTTTCACCATGTTGGCCAGGATGGTGTCAATCTCCTGACCTTGTGATCCACCTGTCTTGGCCTTACAAAATGCTGGAATTACAGGCATGAGCCACCACGCCCAGCCTATATATATATTTTAAATATCTTTGCCCAGGAAGCTTTTCAGCTGTGACATATTAAACATATATATATATATTTATTTTTTTTTTTAAGTTAAAATTATTACGTTTATAACCACAGAAAAAAATGAGTATTTTTATTCTCTGATTCTTTCAACAAACTAGTATTTAGAATTTGGGGTTAGATACCAGAAGTGATTCAGCTCTAGCTTAAGTGATTTGCTTTAATAATTTTTGTATTTAAGTGTTCTGAAGAACATTTAACTGTATTATGCAAGTGTCCCAGATTTTTAAATAAAAGTTAACTTTTTGTTTATTTAAGGGACAATGAGGTAGACTTGCTTAACCATCTACCTCAATTTGATACATATGTGAGAAATTAAAAATTCCAGGGTCTATTAATACTTGAGGCCCCAGCTGGCTACTCATAAAGCTCATGATAATTTCTAACATCTAAGAGTATATAGTTCTTATAACTTTTGAGGCCTCTGTTTTCACATAAGTGACCAAGTATTTATTTTCAGTGTTTTGTTTATGTTGTTGTTATTGTCTTGATAGCAGAGGGCTTGGTTTTCCTACATATTCTCAAGTAACTTTGCAAGAAATTCATGCTGCTGGGTAAACTGTTTGTGCTAGAAGAGATTAACAGTTGGCTCACCAAATTGTCCAAATAACTTTCATAAGGCATTTATCCATGTACTTACTGGGTAGGAGAGATTTTTCTGGAAGGAGAGATTTCTTTGTGAGGATACCCTTAACTGTTCTGTTAGGCTATATTGAATCATGTCTTTATTTTCTTTCATGATTTAGGAGCTACCTTTTGCTAGCGAAACATCCATCTTCCTGGTGGAAATCCAAGGCTTTGGCCCTAGACTTTCTGGCAGCCTGGCAGTGTGGTCATTCTTTAAATGTGTATATTATGTGCGTGGCTGCTGGATGTTGAAAATTAGGAATAGTCCTAAAGTAGGATCTAGGATAGTAGAAAAGATTAGTGCTGAGTAAACTCATACAGGAAATAAATTTAAAAAATTTTTTTATTCTGCAGATTTCATCCCTGACATATCCATTCCACTTGTAGGTTGCAAGGATTAGTCAGCATGGATGTCAAGATCTAAGTAGTTTTTGTTTGTGTGTTACATCAGCATGGGTTTACTTTCTTTCGGGTCCTGTTTAATAAACATGTAAAATTGGTATTGCATTCCAAGTTCTACTTATCTTTTTTCCTTCCTTGTAAAACAGTTCGGGTTCGGAGAAAATCAAGGCGGCGATCACAGTGGGGTAAAGGAATTATTAAGAAAAGGAAAGTTAATAATTTAAAAAAAGATGAAGAAGACACCAAATTTGCAGACTATGAGAACCATACAGAGGACAGGAAATTGCTAGAGAATGGAGAGTTTGAGGTAAGCACTGACTGCCATGAGGAAAATGGAGAAGAGACTGGAGACTTATCTATGACCAATGATGAATCATCCTGTGACATCATGGACATGGACCAGGGGCAGAGGCTTAACAATGGAGCAGGCACAAAAGAGAACTTTGCATCTACTGAGGAGGAAAGTTCAAATGAATCTCTACTCGTCAACAGCAGCAGTTCCTTAAACCCGGAGCAGACCTCCAGGAAAGAGGCTTTCCTTAAAGGAAACTGTCTAAATGGTGAGGCTTCCACTGACAGTTTTGAAGGAATACCAGTTCTGGAGTGTCAGAATGGCAAGCTTGAAGTAGTTTCTTTCTGTGATAGTGGAGATAAATGTAGTTCTGAACAAAAGATTCTTCTGGAGGACCAGTCAAAAGAAAAACCAGAAACTTCGATTGAAAATCATGGAGATGATCCTGAGAAACTAGAGGCACTGGAATGTAGCAATAATGAGA